ATAAATGTTTGGTTCAGATTGGGATCGTATTACCTCTTTGTATGCTACATGACGCGAAAACCTTCAAGGTTCGAAAGTGTTCAAGCCCCCTACCCCCCAAACAAAACACATTCTAAAGTGCCCCCTCTCCCCTCTCTGGGCAGTAACTAGCCCATCCCCGCTATATAATTTGTAGGTCCACAAGTCCTACTAAAAGCTACTTTTTACAAATACATTATTGTCGTAAAACAATTACTAGTTTTTGAAATAGCAAACTCAGTCCTTAAAGAACTATGATAATGAGCCTGCTTGGTCTACGTAATGTCTGAATGGCGTAGTCTGGATAAGCTAAGACGGGGGCAGAATGTTGGGGCAAGATTTCCAACAAGGAGGACAAATTACAATTACGATTTTTCGTCACCACATTAGCGGGGGATGTTTTTATATATTTATCAAAGATAAAGGTGAAATATACCTACTTTAAAAACGAATAATAATCAAGGCCATGTGTATCCCCCACAAACTTACGCCATAGCTGTGGGGGTGTCCTCCGTCCAATATTTCCCTTTTTTATTAGCATTTTGTTTATTGCTGAGGCCTATTTATTTTGTTATGAATAGCGACCCTCTCCACGTATTATGAATAGCGACCCTCATTTTGTATTATGAATAGCGACCCTCTCCTCGTATTACGAATAGCGACCCTCTTCTCGTGTTATGAATAGCGGTCCTCATGAATAACAGTCCTTATGTCTTTATGAATAGTGACCCTCTTCTCCTATTATGAATATCGGTCCCGGAAGTATAGTGGAAGTTCAACGTTAAGAATAGCGGTCCTTATGAATAGCGGCCACACCACCTGTATACCCAAGCAGAATGATAATGTGCTCAACAATAAAGACCCACAGTCTTGGGTTAAGAGGTCCAGTATTTATTTGTTTAATAAGTTATTTGTTTTAATTGACAGTAAACTATTAGATATCTCCTTTCTCCTTTATACCCCATGTTATTTTTATCATTTTTTTCTTCACCCATGATATTGATTTGTCCATCTTTTTTTTAAATGGGATATCCCCACCCCCCACCTCCTAAACAAAGGAGAAAAGACATGTGATACTCTTTATTTAACTTTTGCTACATCTACAACAATAAGTATCAAAAAATACATGGAGATTAGCAGTGAAAAAGAAAAACTGATGTTAAACCTATTTTAATCTCACTCAAAGTCCATATTTATTGCTATTCTTTTAATTGATCGATACAATGAGCTTGCAATTAACTTGTAAACAAAGTAAACTATTATACGAAGTATATAGGCCTACACGAAGGACAGGCATTTTGTTTTATCTATCAAACATTATTACATTCAAAACTTTTTCAGTCTCAATGAGAGAGAGAGAGAGAGAGAGAGAGAGAGAGAGAGAGAGAGAGAGAGAGAGAAAGAAAGAGAACCAGAAAGAGAGCCAGAAAGAAACCAATACAACCCATTAATCTAATAAAAACTGAGAATCTCAATCCACACATTTACAAATAATTCATATATTTTGCAGGGAAAGCATTATTAAAACATAATACTTTTTCCAAACTTGGATTTATAATAATTATTATTGTTGTTGTTGTTGTTGTTGATGTAAACAAAAAATATAGGGACCTATTGCGAGGGAGAGGGGGCGATGTAGAAACAAAAAACTACAGGGGAGTCTTGGGTGTGGTCATTACTTAAAAGGGCTCTTTGGGGGGGGGGGCGGGCGGTAGCTGCGCCAGTCGTCAGTGAAGAGAATCCAATACACCCCATTAATCAAATAAAGTCTGAGAATCTCAATCCATGTATTTACAAATAATTCAAATATTTTGCCGGGAAAGCCAGATATTAATAATAATATTTTTTTTCCAATTTTGGAGTTATATACAAATTATTATTGACCCAATAAGTCATATAGAAAAAACCCAGTGATTTTACTGATTACTGATATCTCATAATCGATGTTGGCAACTGTCCACCAATAGGAAAATTTTAATCTGTTGCATTAACTCCAACACGAAAATCATTCGAAGTGAATTCATGAACAATTTCTCCAGCGTGCCTCGAACATCAATATATAACAAACAAGTAACATGTTATTTCTTGGTTAGTAATCATTATAATCAATGTATCTATTATTAAAACGTGAATGTAATTGTAACATGATTAGACAAATATTCTATTGGTCAATAAATTGCCGAATGAAAGTACAAATCACAAAATTGATGTGCATTGTCATAATTTCCTGTACAAATCATGATCAATGTATTTTTCTGTGAGGCGTGTAAAAGTAAATCATGAATATGCATGATTGATTGATTTTTATTCGACAAGCTTCCAACATACAACAATATACAATAATAACAGATAAAAAAAAGTCAGCTTGAACAGGATAACCCACGAAAGCTCGAGAGCTTATTTCCAGTGGGGTCCCTTACAGACATGTATAAAATTAATAAGTTAAAATAGTAATATTTACAGACAGATAAGAAAATTAAAAGAAGGAGAAGAAGAAAAAGAGGAGAAGGAAGAAGAGGAAAATAATGATGAATTTGTAGAATTTCTATAACGTACGAAAACATAAGTATATACAACATGAAAAAGTATGAACCGACAGAAGAATAAAAATTTCAATCATATAACATGTCATTCACTTCTCTTCTCTGACTGTCAAGTATTAGGTATTCCTTTAATTTCCTCTTAAAATGATCATAGTTTCCTATTTCTTTTACACCATTGGGAAGGGAATTCCAATGTTTTATGGCATTGTAATAAAATGAATTTCCAATACTACCTACTCTTTCAGGTAAGTTAAAGTTGAATCGTCTATTTCTTGTATTATAATCATGTACGTCAGTAACAAGATCGAAGTTGGATCGAATATAATGATTCGACCTAGTATGATATATTTTATGTACATGATGCAATACGAGTTGTTTTGATCTTTGGTCGACTTCAAGAAAACCAGCTTTAGAAAGTTCGCTGTAGCCAACATGAGTTCTTGGACCAGAACAGTTGATAAATCTCACCATTTTGTTCTGTATAATCTTCAACTTCTTTTGATCTGACTTGTTTATGTTACTATACCATGCAGGGTTAGCATAGTCAAATAAACATTGAATAAGAGCAAAACAGAGTGTACGTCTTGCTTTTAAATCCATACAACTTTGATATCTGTACAAAAATTTCAGACGAGAATTTGCTTTTTTTACAACTGATTCTACTAAAGATGAAAATGAAATTGCGCTAGCCAACTCAATGCCTAAATACTTCACAGACTCTTTTCTCTTGATTGCTTGATTATTGTGTGTCACTTTGAATTCAAATGACTTTTTAGAACTACTTTTAGAACAAAATAAAATGCTTTCTGTTTTTCCCAAGTGTAAAGAAAGCTTATTATCAGTCATCCAATCGACACACGTAGACAGCTGTTCACTGAGCTTTTCCTCAATATATTTAGGATCAGGATTTGAATAGAGTAGTACGCTGTCATCTGCGTACAATAATAGTTTGAAGTCTTTTATACAAATACACATATCATTTATATAACTTGAAAATAGAATTGGGCCTAAAATGCTTCCCTGAGGAACACCGCAAGTTATAGGCATTAGTTTGGAACGAATATCATGAATGGCCACTACTTGGTGCCGATTAGATAAGTAGGATCTAAACCAATCTAAACTTGCCTTATCAAAACCCATTAGTTGTAACTTCTTCAATAAGACGCAATGATTAACTGTATCAAAAGCTTTTTGCAGATCAAGGAGCACCATACCAACAAAGCGCCCTTGGGAAGTTTCTCTCCTCAAATAATCAGTCAAATGAATTAGACATGTTTCAGTCGAATAATCATGTCGAAAACCAGATTGAAATTCATAAATTATATCATTTTCTTTGAAGTATCTTTCAATTTGAACACAGACCGATTTTTCTAGAATCTTTGATGCTACGCTTAAAACACTAATAGGTCTATAGTTGCTAACATCAGTTTTATCTTTCTTTTTATAAAGTGGAGTCACTTTTGCTATTTTCATATCCTCTGGAAAAGTACTCGTCAAGATAGATAGGTTCATTAAGTAACTTAGAGGCTTAAATAAAACCTTCGCATGAATGCGGTCATGCAATGTCAGGAATGCTATTATTACCTCTTTGGGAATCCTCGCATTTGACAAAAATATTCGATCAGACTATTTTTCTCTTTTTTCTTTTGCTCAATGGGATAGGAGGGGGTTCGGAGCAACTTTTTTTGAAAATCAACACCCCCCCCCCCCCCCCCCCCCCCCCCCCTCGTGAGTAAAATAAAATGTCGCTAAGTCCCGCTCGCCCGCCCGCCATTAACGTTACCATCTTCAAAAACAAAACCTGTTTTATGGTTAGGGGGACGGGCCCTTCGCCCCCCCCCCCCCCAAGGGTTCCCACCGTTCTAACTTAAGCCTTTCAAAAACGTATGATTTCACTGAAAATCGAGTTTGACGGTGACAAAATGCCGAAGAAACAGTTTTGTTCTTTTTTTAATTCTCATTGTTTTAATATCTGACAGAAGTAGTTATTAGTCTGTCCTGAGGCCACCGAAAACTAAGAATATTATATTTTCTTCTCCCCGCCATACACGTATACACACTTACACGTACACGGGATCTCAGAGAAGCAATGTTTTATAGAGTTTGGTTTACATTATACTTATAGACCACACATATCTGCATTACTATCCTGGCTGTGTATGTGCTATTGATTCCCAACATTTCAAACACAGTTACTGTGAATTCAACTAATCTAAATAGCAGTAAAATTAAATATGTTAGTAAAAAGATGTAAGAAAGAATAATTTAAACATTCAAATTGTAAGTTTACTGTCATACTTGCCGATCAGCCACATCGGCATAATTGTGTGCATTTGTGTATAATGAGTGTATTGACTATTCATGTGAGCAAATGCTGCCTATTAACACTTAGTGCAGTGCTAAAGGTCAATACGCATTAGCGCTGACTCTCTATGCTTTGCTGGAGTGAGTAGACTAGCCGCTGCTGCTAATCGCCCTGAAAACAATCAGGTAGAGTTATTGTGATTAAATGTGACATTTTATTAAATATTTATATCGTACTGTATGTGTGAAGGGGCGCGTTTGAATGCATAGATATTTTATTGAGATTGTGGGAGATTATATAATGAAAATTCAGAGAATAATTGCTACAAATTCAGAATGTAATTTTGTGTAGTCCCACGTATGTATCTGCTCGTTTGTGGTAGAGGCTACACTTTTATTTCGATTAAACTTAAAGTTTTAACAGTAGCAGATAGTAATCTAACTAGATCTTAGTACCTAAGAAAACCCTTTTCTCTTGAAATATTATACTACTGTTAAATATTTGTATTTTGTATTTTGCATTTAGTGATATTTTAGAGATTTTCTTTGATTTTTATTCTCACCACAGCACTAGGTCAAGGGATAGAGCGAGTATGGGCTAGACGCCATTTCCTGTGGTATATTTCTTCCATTGACGGATATCCAAATTTGCATTTCAGAGGAAAAAAGAACAGAAATTAACTTAATATGGCATTGCCAGCATTTAGAGGGTTACGGAAGACGCCCAAGTTAATGCTAAACCTTTCTCAAATGTGGCCTTACAAATCCCTAACAGCCAAGGTGTCAGGAACAAGTTTAACTAACATCCACAGGTGGAAGCACCATTCAAATTTACCATTGAATCTAAGATCGAAATCTTCCATCGAATGCCTCCATTGTACATCTTATTTGAAATTGATAACAATAAATACAAGATTCCTGAATACCAAACACAAGTCTCTGAACCAGAAAGAAACAAAATCATCAGAGTTGGAAGTAGCTCACATCCAAAAGGAACTAGAAGCTGAGAACAGACTCTCCAAGAAGCAGAAACGCGCAGCATCAGATCCGAAGAATTCCATGATCAACGTTGGAAGGTTTGTGGCGGACAAGATTCTTGAATTGATTGATGAGAATGGAACGTCACTTGGATCGGTCAACAGAAATCAAGCCATTGCTTTGAGCCAGCAGAAGAAATTGAAGTTGGTTCTATTGAAGCCTCATGCCAAGCCTTGGCCAATTTATAAGTTAATGACGGGACAGGAGCTTCATGAGGAACAGGTCAAGCGCAATGAGAAGGCCAAAAAGAAAACATCTCCTACACAGGTTAGAATTCACAGGGAGGTGCAATTGCTTATTGTGGTCAATTGGTTAAATTTATGTTTGTGTGATGTAATTAAGAATGTGATAAGCCTAAGGTTGAACTTGTATCAGTTAACAGACTGAAATGTGCACTGTATATTGTCAAAGAGAGGTCAGAACTTTATAAAACCTATTCCTAGAAATGTACATGTACAACTGTCTGAATAATTTTAATTTCTATTCTAATTTCATAAACCCATATTGGTATCTTTTAAATTACAGAAGTCACATTTTTAAAGCCTCCCCCCCCCCCCCCCAAAAAAAAAAAAAATGCATTTGTTATTCATAAACATGTTCACAACCTTAAGATTGAGTGTAGTAAAGTACAGTAATGGTTTAGTACTTCAGAATGAACTTGGAGAAGATATGAAGAAAGCCATATTTTCAAAAAAATGTATGAGTCAGCTCAAGTGACAGATTCTGTTCTCCCTCTGTGTTTACACTCCACAGTTAAAAGAAATCAAAGCATCATGGAACATTGGTCAGCATGACATCGACGTGAGACAACGTCAGCTTCAAAACTGGTTTTCTGATAAGAATGCCAATATCCATGCGAGGGTTACAGTCACTGGAGGGAAAGGCACTGAAACGGTACTCCAGGAAAAGCAGGTACAATTCTACAGATGAATATTTAGTTTATTTACCATTTTATAAAGCACTTACTGGAAGTGGAGTATGATGTGAACTTTCGATTTCTCAGTAAAAATTTGCCATTTAATTTTGGCTTCTTTTGACAGAGGTAACTGGGGAACTGTTATAGAGACATCATATCTAACTTCCCTTTCCCATTTATTTCACATTTTTGATGAGTTTGCACATAGCCAGATATAGGTATTATACATGGTTTCAGCTTTATTCAAGCATCTAGCTTAACATTTGGCTGTTTATTTGACATGCAACTTACAGAGAATTAAGCATTTTTGCTCCTTAGTACTTGATTCTGTCTTGCATCGTTTCTTTTGCACTTTCCTCCTGTTTCCTTTTAGCTTGGGCTCTCTGTGGTACCTTACTTTATAATATTTTGTTTCCATTCACAGATGGCAGTCGTGAATCAGCTTATGCATGGACTGGAAGATAGACTTACTCTGAACGGACCCCCTCAGATGGTAGGCAAGAACCTGAACAACCTCAGGGTCACGATACGCACCATGTCTGCTAAAGAGACAGCCCTTTATAAGAAGAGCCTAGCCGAAAAAGTGCCTCATAAACCTTAGATAGTTAAAGCATTCTTTACTTAATGTGTTGCTTGCAGCATTATGATTATGATTTACTTTACACATATATGCTTATATTTCTGAATTTTATTTTGTTTTGTAAATTTAAATGGCTTGTATGGAGGCAGTGATCAAGAAGAGTTATGAATGCAAAAGCATAAAACAACTGGATAAATGTCTCTCTCTCCCTCCCTCTCTCTCTCTCTCTCTCTCTGACATTTTCTTTGAATGAGCCAAAGTAAATGCAGATGTCATGGACAGATTCGTCCAGCAGCATGCTTATGATACAAAATTTATCCAAGTAAAGCAATTACATAGTACAATTTGAGAAAATGTAATTTGTATGAAGGAATTTATTGACTGCTTCCAAAGCAATAACATGCAATAGATTCTTTTATGTGCTATGTCCCTCTGGCTCCCAACAGGCAATATTTTCTGCATGATCACTATGATATTATTTTTTTCTCTCCAAGATTTATAGAGAATATGTGCAAGTAAATGCAGGTCTTCTGACAAGTTAAGAATAGATAAGATAAGTGAGATGGTAAATCATTTTGGACATTATAGTCTCCAATGCCGTTTTCATGAAAAGATTTCATATTCTACTCTACTTTTGTTACCGGTATGTCTTGTTTTGTATCAGCTAAAGCATATTATTGAAATATGATTACTGAAAACAGAGTACACTGTATCAAAGTGATCAATGTATTCATCGACTGTATCAACAAGCTCTAGAACAATTTCTTCATATGTAGTACTCTATTTATTCTGCGAATTCATCATTACTTTGGCGTTTGTAATTCAGACAAATGTACAATGTATACTGTTCAGATTCTAAGCTGTGATCTGTCTGTAGTCAGGTGAGATAGATGATGTACTGGTATACCTCTTTATTCAGGGAACTTGTGATTCAGTGAGAACTGGTTATAATGGGAGTCTGTTCTTCATAACTAAGTTCTAGATTTAAAAAACCTCACCTACTATTCAATATTTGTAAAGGAGGCATTTGTATGAGATTGACTTGGAGAAATAAAGTCTGTGCATTTAAATGTACAATTTAATAAATGGCAAAAGTATAACAAAGGCATTTGTGAAATGTGAATCTGTGGTATGTGTTCTGAAATTGCTGTGCATAGAAAATTTATCTGAGCTTTTGAAATGAAGGATTGTAATTGTTTTTTTTGTGGCTTTAATAGCAAAATGAGGTGGTACAAACAATGCAAACATATAGTTGTCAAAATTCCTTATATCACATAGAGGTAGAGCCACATGGTTAGGAATGGAGCTGGTAAATATATGTACTATCTTGATCAGGCTTAATTAATATCAGCTAAACTTTCATTCATATATATATCAACTAAGAACTTTTAAGACGGTGATATCCCTAACTATTAGACTTGTTGCGTTCTGGACATGCCTTTTTGTGTCACTACGTTTTGCTAAGCCCTGGCCCCCTCCCTTCTTTTGTTATACAAGCCTTTTTCAGCACCCCTCCCCCCCTTTTCAGCAAAAGTCCGGTGTGTAAAGTCAATACGGGTAGACCTTTTTCTTTTGTTACGAGCCAGAGAGTTTGGGAACTGACACGCATGGTATCCCTCCCTTCACAGAGTGGGGGGGGGGGGGGGGGGCAGTGCTAAGCTACCTAGGGTGTTGAACATATTTTCAATGCCTCTATAGTTGGCTTCTGTTAAACGGAACTATTGACAGCCTCATTGGTAGAAGACAGTAAAAGTAAACATAAATGCACTTCATAAATAATTTGTATACAATACAATTCTCAATGTATAACAATAGCATGTTAGATGTAAATAAGCACAGCAGGAAAGGTTTCATGATATTTATGTAGTTTTATTAGAACACCAATGAGGATTATGATGGCTGGCACATATAAATAATGCCCAAGAACATGATGAAATATATATGTAATGACTTATATATCATAAAAATATATGAAAGTAACAATGTAACATAAAATTATGTTAGAATGATGAATTGATACTATTTAAAATGACTTCCTAAATCTGGAGAATTTTGTTGTTGTTTACATTAACTTAAAAAAAATGGGATGTGCCCTCTGATAATAAATAGTAAAAGAATAATGACTATTTTTTTTATAAAATTGCATTTGCTAACAAGGCAAAAAAACAAGTCTAGATGTCAAATCCAAAAACAAAATTGCTCATCAATAAGCAACGTTTGTTCCCTGCAATTATGTGCAATAAGTATACTGATACTGACAATTGATAATGAAATAATAAGACTAAATTTACATAGGTAGAGGTACTTTCCTAGATAGGAAATTGTAAATTGCCAAAAGTACTTGTACTCCAATAGTCATTTGTTAAAATCTATAGCAGAATTTATTTAATAGCATTAAAAAACATTTAAAAAATATTGATTATCTGACTTCACAATTTTTCCCCTATTTGAATACAATGTTATCTTGAAGAATGTAACTACTTTATAGTCAATTTTGATAGAATTTTAATAACTTTTCCCCTTTAAGAATTCAAGATAGGTTTATGCACATTGAACTATATTCTTTCATGTAAACCTGAGACACCTCATAATATTGACTTCTTATGAAGAGCTTATGTCTAGCACACAGTGATGCTTATAGCTTTCTATGATTAGGGGCCAGTCCATATCACAGGTAACAACAATTACAATTATAAAATCAGTCTCCTTACGTATAGACAGATAAGGAATTGAGTCTTAGAAAATCGACACTGAAAGCTCATTTGCAACAATTAGCAATAATTAGTGAGAGAAAACCAATATCCAATACCTTTATGTAATCATAGTAAACAAATATACCATGCACTAAGAGGCTCTAGTTGAAATTATAGATCGAGGTGGCAGGAATAGTGGTATTTCTGTTGCGACCAATAGCACATTGATCTTGATCAATCGTATATAAGATGTCATCCATGGTATAGTGCTATGATATAGTGCACTATACCATGGATGACGTCACGGTTACATAAAGCAATGTTATGTTTGGTCACATGATGCCATGTTGACCAATCACTGAACAGGATTTCATTGATCAAAAATATAATTACTGTTATCAGTGATATGGGACTGGCCCTTATCCTGCTTTTAAAGCACAGCTACCATAAGGAGTTTCATTGTTCAAAGCATTAAATAATGTCTTCTTAGCAGGTAAATACAACATGTACAAGATACCTTGTCTACATACTCGCAGGGCATTGGTAAAAAGCCTCAATCTCAACTAGAATACCAAAGCAGTAATAGAATACAGATAACATATCACACTTAGTTTACATGGTTTTTCGCATTTTGACATGAATCATTTCCTATGATTTGCTTCCCCTAAGATATAAATATTCCAATAATAGTATGCATACATCCATATCACCAACACAAGCAGATTCCTAAGGTATAAAAATGGGACCAATTCCCATCACACAAGTTATTCCTTTACATCAATATTCTCTGATGTTACTCCAGATTGTTTACTAGATTCTACCTCCATGGCAACATGTACGTTCTTTACAACATCGGGACAGTTATCATCAAAGACTGGGAGATTCTAATTTTTTCCCGCTATCCTCTCGTTATTTGTGAAACAACAATCCTTCTCCAGTGATGTCTCTCCATGATCAGCAATCTCTGAGAACCTCTTATCCATACTTCCATCAAAGTCAGGTGAGATGTATTCTAACCCCTGCATTGCTAGTAGAATATTTGCAGCATATTTATCAAGGTCTGTTTCATCATCTTGAGATGATTTTGGCTTGTGTGTGACAGCTTTAGAACAATCACCTTTGGATGAATTTGCTAAAGGCATACATGATGGAACTGAACTGGACGTACTTGGAATCTCTTCTTGAAGTTCAGTGTCCATACTGGGGCTCTTAGGAGAGTCAGATGTACCAGTGATTTCTACTTGAAGTTGACTGTCCATTTTAGAACAATCACCTCTGGATGAAGTTGCTGAAGGCATACGTGATGGAACTGGACTGGACGTACTAGGAATCTCTTCTTGAAGTTCAGTGTCCATCTTGCGGCTTTTGGGAGAGTCAGATGTATCAGTGATGTCTACTTGAAGTTGACTGTCCATTTTAGAACAATCACATCTGGATGAAGTTGCTAAAGGCATACATGATGGAACTGGACTGGACGTACTAGGAGTCTCTTCTTGAAGTTCAGTGTCCATCTTGCGGCTTTTGGGAGAGTCAGATGTACCAGGGATGTCTAATTGAAGTTGAGTGTCCATTTTAGGGATCTTTGGCGAGTCATCCTTTCCAGGGTCAAAGGTCAATGTATGGAAAGGACTGGATAGAAGGTCAGGCCCTTCAAGGTCAACATGGCCAGCTATTCTTGAAGCAAGACTCCGTCTCTTTCTTGGCTGTGGGATAGATGTTACAAAGTGTCAGAAAATGCTGAAATTAGCCAAGAAAAAAATGTGATGAATAATGAACAAAAGAAGCTCAAGACAATGCAAATAATGTTATTCTTTTCTACCAAATCTATCTCAAATATAAGTAAAAGTCAGCAGGTTTTTGGGGTACTAATTTCATCACTAGCATCACTTCGCCACAGTCCCTCATCAAGAAGAAAGAACACAAATGATGTCTATGAGCACAAGTCAGCATGATCCAAAGACTAACCAGAAGGATGTCTACTCACAAATTTTCAAAAGACACTAAAAGTCAGATAAAATATGCTTAGCTTTAAAGGTCAATGAATTAATTTTCTTTTTTCATCTATTATCAAGAAGATAGAGTTAGTTGGATGATCTGTACCTTGGCTGGTGGTTTTTGATACCCAGGTTTATGGACCACTTGATGTTGAACTAAAGATTTCTTGTAGCTGAATGTCTTCATACAGCCAGGATGAGCACAGGAAAATGGTCTGGCGCCCTTGTGGAACTTACTGATGTGAAGCCGCAAGCTTTCACGCTGTGTGTGGGAAAGTAAGAAATGTCAAGCGTAATCATATATCTCTATTTCCTAAATTTTGAATCTTCAATGTCAGTAAATTCTTAGTTTTCCTCTCGGCTTCCTTCGATCTCCTTTCACTGGCCTGCCTCAACTTGGCAATGCCAAAGTAATGTCATCATATTTCAAGTCTTAATGTATTTTGCTTTAGCAATATATAGCATTCACATTAAGTTCTCATTTACTTATTTATTAAGTATTATTCATAATGAAGTCACTCCTCCTCCTCCTCTCCTTCTCTCTCTCTCTCTCTCTCTTTCTCTTTTCGTTCCTCTCCTTTTTCTCCTTCTTCTTCCTGGTTTCAGACTTAATCACATATAAAACTGAAAGGATGCTCACCTTGATGAACCGTCTATCACAGTCTTCCATAGGACAGACAAACACCTCCCTCTCAGTCGCATGTACCATCATGTGATTACGTAACTGCATTTCACACAGGAGAACGAATGACAATAAGAAAGATATAATGACATTGTATTGTATATTTTCATTGTAAATTGTTTTATACTGGTTGAATGAAGAATTAAATTGAACAATTGAACATTGACACTTTCACATTGTTATCACTTTATAAACACAGAAATAATGCCTTACAATTTTATAGTTTCAAAGTTGGACCTATCCCAGATATTCAAGGCTTCTTTGAATGTACGTCATATAGAAATGCAAGATGTAGCAGCAATATTAATTTGGAGATATGAAACATAGCAACTGTGTACATAAATGCTGTCATTAGTTGTATTTTTATGAAAGTGAATGCTCCTCAGTATTGCTTCAATTTCAGAACATAACATGTCCCATGTAATAGAGATTTTGATATCATACACATAATTTGAAGAAAAAACGGGCATCAACAAAACATGGCTACTTTGTGAGTTGCATTTTTAGACATTCTTTCACTCTGACAGGAATGTTGATGGATAAATCTTCAAGAGAAACATATCATTAGCAAGTGAAATATCTACCTTATGTTTCTTGTTGAATACCATGCTGCATTCACTGCAACTAAATTCTGCAATGACAATTACAAAACAAAATATACATAGAATAATTGCTTATTTCCCCCACTATGGAATTATGGATAGAAATATGAAATAACAAGGACTGTGTAACCTGTTACTAGTTACTTTTGGAAAGTAATATATATACAACAAGACATTTTGGGGTATCTTTCTTAAACAAACAAAATAGCATATTACAGGTTGATTGAAATATGAAGCATAAATAAAAAGTCAAAGTGACAGCTAATCAATCTCATTTTTCTGCCAGAGGATAAGCATACTGAAAGTTTTATATATACAGTGTATATATAAATATATATTTTTAATTGTTGTTGATTATTTCTTTTACCCCTCTTGGCTTGAGAACCAAAAAACATCCTCATGTTTCTATGAATATGATTGTGTCCAAGGTTCAAACATAAGGAGGAACTTGGGGCATATAGAAAAATTTACCTCTAGAGATTATATATAGAGCCATTTAAAGTGAAGTGTGACATAAACCATTTTATGCTTGTCTTTACTTCCAAGATTAACAAGTGATAATGCTAAAGTAGCAAGATGCATGTATGACATGGCAACGAGTAATGTATGCAATTGGCGTACCGGCCATTGAAAATATATTACCATGTAACAGGTACATGTATTGGTTGGTTTAAGTACTCTTGTATATTTCAACTGTTTCATTTGGCCAAATGCACAAAATGTGGTTATATAGTTAAAACAATAACTACTGTTACTCACCTATTGTATGTGTTGTTAAATGAGCCGTCAATTCACTCCATTTACCGAACCACTCATTGCAACCTTCTCTTGTGCAGGTGTACCCTGAATGTTTGAATAGATATATAAAAGAATTCATTAAAATTTGCTTTTATCTTCTTCTTTTTTTATTGTCCATTCTAAAAATGCATATTTTCTTTAAGGAAAGGACAGAATCACGATTGACAACTTCAATAAAATTACATCTTTTTCAATATAGTGGTTAATATTGCTTATCTCAATATTACTCTACTATGCATTTATTGACAAGTCAAAGCAATTGAGTAATGATACTAACCCTGAAAGTAACAAAACTGTATAAACAGTAAAGATGGTGAACCCATTCTGAGTGGATTTTTAAATGAACAGAATGAACAATACCATAGTATGTCCTTATAGATGCATCAGCATTCTTGAGATATAAATATTAAACAAATATGCCTACAACTCAAAATACTATTTATTAAATTCAATGTTTTTTATTGTCCATATATGTAGATTTCTCTTGTTTGAATGGATTACACAAGGAGATATTCTGAACATTATGTAATGAGCAGTATTATTGAATACAAAAAAAAATCACTCTCACCTTTATGAACCTTCATATGACGTTTGAGTTTGCTTGGTATCAGAAAGCTTGCTTCACAGTCCTTTTCTTCACATCTAAAATGGGAATGCAAATGAGAAACAAAGAGAAATTGAACAGATGAACAGATAGCAGTTAACATGTTGAATCAAGTAAAACAAGCAAACAAACAAATATTCAACAATGATTCATAAAGAGTGTCCACAAAGGATGTAAGAGGAAATTGAGCTGGAGTAAATCAAAGCTCAATACAATGGAAGATGAAAAAAATTCTCACAACCTCACAACTTACTTGAATGGTTTGATATTGGTATGGATGTACTGATGAACGGTGAGGTGTTGATGCTTGTGGAATGTCTTGCCACACCCTTCATAGTCACACTGTACAGAAAGAAACAAGCAATAATAATGATAATAATAAGAATGATAATAACCCTTCCAGGTAGTGCTCAAGGTGCCTGCTACTAAGGTGCTCCAAAATAAGCTCTGACAATAATCTCGCTGGGATTTTTTTCAGATGTCAGAGATATAGGGTTAGGTGTAGGGTTGCAGTGGGTCTCTCGGTTAAGTGTCATACAACCTCTACAGCCATTAGTAAACCTTGGTTTTGCCAGATACCCTAAAGCACTGCAAGCTTTTAAAGAATCACTTATCAGGTGCCCATTTACTGCACCTGGGTCAAGAGAGGCAAATATTGAATAACAAAATGATAGAGTAATTTAACACATCTTTCTGAATAATACTATGTCTATATCTCTCATCTTATGAAGTCTATATAGATGTCATAATATACCGATTCGATTCAAATCCAGCCTTGGAAGCAATTGAAATCAGTTGGAACTTAATCTTACCTTGTATTGTCTGCCTTGGTGTACTCTTTTAATATGTTTCTTGAGATTATCTTTGTTGCTGAAAGCAGCTCCACATCCCACCTCCTCACATCTGTAAAAGTAGAAAGGTTTTGTTTTCGTAAAAAGTCTTAAGTTAAGCATTTATGCATTCAGAACCTTAGAAGTTAAAACAACTCTCATTATAAAAAGGTTATATCAGTGGAGCCCTTTCTATTGTTCTTGATTCCAGCGAAACACAAAACATGAATATATACATATATTAAAGCGGGACTGCACTACTTGTAGCTACTGACACCCTCTATACATCCAACAATGTCTAAGCGGTACCCATTGATCCCCCATGGTCCCCTTTTTCTTATGTTAATTGAGAGCTGATTTGATGAGATAACCACCTGCAAGTGACCACGCAGGGGTGTATAATTCCTCCTGGCCAAACTAGTGCAGACAGGCTTTAAGGTAATTTTCTAGGTCACAGGAGTTTCTATTGTGTTGTTTACTAAAAACTCAAGAAACAAATCATATGTGATACTTACAATAAATCATTTTGACTGCTATGAGAGCTCAGATGTCTTTGTAGATGGGGCTGTCTGGTGAAAGCCTTGGTGCATCCCTCATGTGTACATACGAATGGATTCTATTGGAGAAAAAAAATAGAAAAACATACGAGACACATATATCACACTCCTACTGCTTTGATTAGACTCCTAGCCTATCCAAAACTTGTCCATTGAAAGCTTAGATATATCCCTCATGTCATACTGAAAGGTTTGTCAACTCGTATACATATCACAAATCTCATCCTCCTTGGAGTTAACAATGACCCACCCATAACTGCCCAGGTCCTGGATTATCATGCTGCATCCCTAACATTCATCTTAGATATGCATATTAAACATTCTGTTGTGAACAAAGCAGCTCCTGCATAAGCTGTCATCTTCAGGTCTTGTGATCTTTGATATTATATACCCAGATTTGTATTGTCTCTACTATCTATTTATTCAATCTGCGAAGGATACACTCCGCAGTTCTCCAAACCTGGAGGAAACCAAGAAGAAGAAGAATATCCATATAATTTGTAATTAGGAAAAATGTAGTGTTTGAAATGTTGAGAATCAATAGCACAACTTTTAATACACAGCCAGGATAGTAATGCAGCTATGTATGTTCTATAGGCCTATGTAAATAAAACGAAAACAAAATTTCTTGTAATTTTATTGTCTTATCAATTATTACACTTTCTTTCTATCTTTCATTGTCTAACCCTAACCCTAGTTCCCATGTTTTATATATTATATTAGAGTAAAGTACCCGGTTTTCGGCCACTTAAGACAAAATCCTATTTATTGGACTCTTTACTTCCTATTTATTATCATTTCTTGTTCAAATCATGAAGCAAATATTATTATTATTTAAACAAAAAAAGAATCCCAAAAAAAAATCACGAATTGCCATGACAATATTCATTTCAATTTTCACTGTTTTGGAGCCGGTTATCGGCCGAGCGTTTCAGTTTACGGCCGCATGTACAAAGTCAATAGGAAGCGCTCGCGCGCGCCGTGCGTTTCTGCGCTGATGTATAGCACAAGCGGGCGGAGCAGGTATCCCACGCCGGAGCTCCCGGGTGCTCGCCTGGCCGAATACAGGCACAGTGGTGATCGGAAGTTGGAATCTGAATTAGACAGACATATCGTGTGTGCGTCGCGGTGTGCGGCTGCATTGATTTAATACATGCGATGAGATACTTTTGAGCTTGCGACCAGCACAAAATCGGGCTCTATATCTGAAAAATACTTGAAATAAAGCTCATTTTATGGTACCCATATTTCTTACATACACGCGTAAGAAACTCGATTTTTCAGATTTGGGTAGCGGGACCGCCGATTACATCGCTAAAATGTGATATTTTAGGATATATTTTTCATTGCAAATGTGGTTCTTCAGTGACACTGGCATGGTATGGTATGTGTGGGATATGTGTTATGCTATTATGCGATGTATTTTAAAGTGATTTTACCATGTATCCAACCAATTGGCCGAAAACCGGAGCTGACCGATTACCGGGTACTTTACTCTATTATTTGGTATATCACTCTGAAACACATATTTTTCTTTTCAGCCAACGTGTCATCAATGACTGGAACACACTTCCTGAAGAGGTAGTCACTGCTACCACGGTGAATGCCTTTAAAGCCAGACTAGATCGAGTATGGAAGGACAAGCGTTTCTGCTCCCCATATGAGTAGAATACCCGACGCAGAACTGAGCCAGACACTTACCAAGAAGACACCCAACTACGAGAAGGAAGAAAATGTAATTGAACTGGAAGCCCGACTGCTGAGAACACAGCATTCTTCCAGAATCTCGGGTAAAGGTAAAGGTAAAGAAACAATAGGCCCTACGTGAATTTAAACGTATGGGACTGGATTTCTGACTTTTGACACAAGTGACTAATTGAAGTCTTCATATTAAACTTTCCTCTTGCAATTCACACGATCGAATATTCAACTTACAGTGCCAGTGTGTTTGGCTTCATGTTCAATCAATTTCCACTTCTTGTTATAATTGGCAGAACAGTCCTCAAAAGTGCAAATATACATATTTTCGACACTTGCCAAATCTTCTTCTGTTTGGGCTTATTGGTGTCTTCGAAAACAAAATTGGAAAAGAAAAGAGGATGAAAATGACTTTGCGTTTTACACCCTGGCCTGGACCTTTTCCCAATAAATTTCAAGGAACCGACTGGGAAAAGTCTATCCATGACAAGATATTGCGCGCGCACGTAGCTCTTCAACGTACGTCCTATAATTTATGTCCAGTGTCGCGGTACGCGGTACATGATTGATTGATATTATTCGACAAGCTTCCAATATACAACAATATACAATAATAACAGATCAAAAATAAGTCAGCTTGAACAGGATAACCCACGAAAGCTCGAGAGCTTATTTCCAGTGGGGTCCCTTACAATTAATAAATTAAAATAGTAATATTTACAGACAGATAAGAAAATTAAAAGAACTACTTATTAAAGATAATAATAACAACATTAAACTGATGATAGAAATGATATTAAGTACAAGAAGAAAAAGAAGAAGGAGAAGAAGAAAAAGAGGAGAAGGAAGAAGAGGAAAATAATGATGAATTTGTAGAATTTCTATAACGTACGAAAACATAAGTATATACAACATAAACAATATAAAAGTATGAACCGACAGAAGAATAACAATTTCAATCATATAACATGTCATTCACTTCTCTTCTCTGACTGTCAAGTATTAGGTATTCCTTTAATTTCCTCTTAAAATGATCATAGTTTCCTATTTCTTTTACACCATTGGGAAGGGAATTCCAATGTTTTATGGCATTGTAATAAAACGAATTTCCAATACTACCTACTCTTTCTGGTAAGTTAAAGTTGAATCGTCTATTTCTTGTATTATAATCATGTACGTCAGTAACAAGATCGAAGTTGGATCGAATATAATGATTCGCCCTAGTATGATATATTTTATGCACGTGATGCAATGCGAGTTGTTTTGATCTTTGGTCGACTTCAAGAAAACCAGCTTTAGAAAGTTCGCTATAGCCAACATGAGTTCTTGGACCAGAACAGTTGATAAATCTCACCATTTTGTTCTGTATAATCTTCAACTTCTTTTGATCTGACTTGTTTATGTTACTGTACCATGCAGGGTTAGCATAGTCAAATAAACATTGAATAAGAGCAAAACAGAGTGATACGTCTTGCTTTTAAATCCATACAACTTTGATATCTGTACAAAAATTTCAGACGAGAATTTGCTTTTTTTACAACTGATTCTACTAAAGATGAAAATGAAATTGCGCTAGCCAACTCAATGCCTAAATACTTCACAGACTCTTTTCTCTTGATTGCTTGATTATTGTGTGTCACTTTGAATTCAAATGACTTTTTAGAACTACTTTTAGAACAAAATAAAATGCTTTCTGTTTTTCCCAAGTGTAAAGAAAGCTTATTATCAGTCATCCAATCGACACACGTAGACAGCTGTTCACTGAGCTTTTCCTCAATATATTTAGGATCAGGATTTGAATAGAGTAGTACGCTGTCATCTGCGTACAATAATAGTTTGAAGTCTTTTATACAAATACACATATCATTTATATAACTTGAAAATAGAATTGGGCCTAAAATACTTCCCTGAGGAACACCGCATGTTATAGGCATTAGTTTGGAACGAATATCATGAATGGCCACTACTTGGTGCCGATTAGATAAGTAGGATCTGAACCAATCTAAACTTGCCTTATCAAAACCCATTAGTTGTAACTTCTTCAATAAGACGCAATGATTAACTGTATCAAAAGCTTTTTGCAGATCAAGGAGCACCATACCAACAAAGCGTCCTTGGGAAGTTTCTCTCCTCAAATAATCAGTCAAATGAATTAGACATGTTTCAGTCGAATAATCATGTCGAAAACCAGATTGAAATTCATAAATGATATCATTTTCTTTGAAGTATCTTTCAATTTGAACACAGACCGATTTTTCTAGAATCTTTGATGCTACGCTTAAAACACTAATAGGTCTATAGTTGCTAACATCAGTTTTATCTTTCTTTTTATAAAGTGGAGTCACTTTTGCTATTTTCATATCTTCTGGAAAAGTACTCGTCAAGATAGATAGGTTCATTAAGTAACTTAGAGGCTTAAATAAAACCTTCGCACCATCTTTTAGAAATTTAGCTGGAATCAAGTCTAACCCAGTACTTTTTGATACATTCAACTTACGTAACTCTTTGAAAACAAATTGTTCACTGATTGGTAATAACTCGAAGCTGTTTTCACGTACACCTTTTCTTTCGTAAAAGTCACGAATACAATCATTGTCTGCGCTGAAAAAGTCTTTGGAAGGGGGGAGTTTGTCTACTAATTTGGCAGCCACATTTGTGAAATGAGAATTGAATTCATCAGCGATGGCCATCTTATCATGACATAATTCCCCATCAATTTTAATGACAGATTCTTGTTCTTTTCGCTTCTTATTTTTCAATCCTAAGCTTTTTAGATTCTGCCAAAGTTTTTTCGAATCTTGTTTATTTTCTTCTATCTTGTTTTGTAAGTAATCGAGTTTAGCCTTTTTCACCTCTCTTTGGACCATATTTCTTAATACTCTGTATCTTTTATAGAGCTTCTCATCTTTTGCTCTTTTCCTCCATTTTTTGTATACTATATTTCTCTCTTGAATGTACTTTTGTATCGAGACGTACGAGTGAGAGAAAAACAACGAATAACAACAGAAGGAAATAGAGAAAAACAATAAATAATTAAAGAACAGAGAGGAAACAAAGAATGTCATAAGCAGAGAGAGAAAACAAAAACTAACTTGAAAGAAAGAGAGAAATTAGAGAAGGAATTAATCAAAGTAAGGAAAGAGAGAAACCAAATAATATTATGGTTTTTGTGGTTTAATTCCGCCTTCTTCAGGGTTTCAATTTTTGACGTGTAGCCTACTTTCAAACCATTTGCTGATTCGGACCCCCCCCCCCCTAACACACGTGTACACATATCGACACATACACAGACTACACTCGACATAATATGTGTAATGGTAATGTAATACATAAACTGTGATTTAAATATTGCACTCGTACCATTTTCTATTATTGTGGGATCACGTCTTTCATTTTTTAAATTCATGTCATTTGTTTCTAAGACCTAATTTCTCTAATTCTCTTGACCCCTCTCCCTTCATATTTGTTTTCTAAGACCTCCCCCCCCCCCTCATCTCTCTTCATATTTTGTTTTCTAAGACCCATTTCTCCCCCGCCCCCCCCCCCCCCCGGCCCCCCATCTCTATTCATATTTGTTTTCTAAGACCTCTCTCTCTCGACCCACTCTCTCGTATGTATTTCTCAGACCCCTCTTTCTTTCTCTCTCATTAACCCCCTCTTCATATTTGTTTCTAAGGCCTCTCTCTCTCTCTCTTCATATTTGTTTCTAAGACCCCCCCCCCCTCTCTTTCTCATTTCTTGATATTTGTTTCTAAGACCTCTCTCTCTCTAGCTCTCAATTCATGATATTTGTTTCTAAGACCCCCTCTCTTTCTCACTTCTTGAATTCATATTTGTTTCTAAGACCTCCGTGTCTCTCTCTCCCTTTCTCTCTTTCTCATTTTAAATTCATGATATTTGTTTATAAGACCTCTCTTTCTCTCTTTTTCCATATCACTTTGTCTAGTGTAATGTACAGACACATAACATATAAAGGAAATTATACACCAGTTTTACATGAATTCATTTGCACTTTATTTACTGCTTTACATTCATATACTTTTTTTTTTCGTGAAGGTAATCTAATCCTTCAATGTCAGAGAAGTAATACAAAAGATACAGGAGTATGTGTATGCATAAATAGTTATATAAAGAAGAAATATGTAGTAAAAGTGAAAGCAAACAATTAGTAGAAATTTGAACAGATAATTTGACAGTGTGTTAAGATTTAGATGCAAGAAATGACTATCAGAAATTTTTATTTGAAAATACATGCACATGTAGATAAAAAGAGATCTGAACATAGGCGGATTCATGGGCGCAGAGGCGTGCACCGCACTTTACTTTGGAGATAACGAACTGAATACAAATAATGGATGATACGTGAATTGACATTGACTGACAGACAGTACTGGCAGTGACAGTGACAATGTGACACTGTGCAGTCTTACTCTTAGTTTTGCTAACTATTGATGCCTATAACAGTTACAGTTAATCGTACTCATATAACTACAATTCAAAACTGGATTTACAGTATTCATACCCGCAAAGGCGTCTGCATTGCCACTCCGTCATCATCCTCGATGAATTCCATCGTGCAGCAAGCTTCTTAACTTGTTGTTGTTCTGAACTTGAAATCCTATATATCTTCAGTATTGCAGCTGCGTCGGTGTGTATAAATGCTGCATCGACGTACGTCTGTACTGTGCATGTACGATTCGATTTGGAACTGGCGCGCCCGATCGAGGAGCGTAGACTAGACTCATTCAAGCAGTTTCATTGCTATTTACCGGGAAAATGTCCAGGCCAGGGTGTAAAACGCAAAGTCGCAGCCCGGGGCGCGAATTTTTTTTCCGTACTCGAGAGGGCAAATACCCCATGTGCGCATGCGCGTGGACTTGTGATTTCTCTGCTACTTCCCATACGAAATGTACATGTATTCGCATGTACTGTGCACGATTCGCGTTCTACGAGTAAACGATGGCATAGTAGTCTTCAAACACAGACTCTGATTTGCCAGTTTGACAAATCAATATGCGTATGTGTCGCGATGTGCTTATTCAAGTCTGTGTAGTTGTATGATTCAGACCCAGTAGTGCATATGGAAATACATTGCAACTTGTATAGAATGGTATAGTAGTCTGCAAGCACAGACGCTAATCTGACAGTTTGACAACATACTAGTAGTGTGCTGATGAGAAGTACTTTATTCAAGTCGCCAACTTGTATAGAATGGTATAGTAGTCTGCAAGCACAGACGCTAATCTGACAGTTTGACAACATACTAGTAGTGTGCTGAGAAGTACTTTATTCAAGTCTGCGTAGATGTATGATTCAGACCCTACTGGTGCGTGCGTTAGAAATGCATCTCAATGTGTAGAGTG